TTGTTTCTCAACATCTAAATGAATATTATTTTATTTAGTTTCAAATTATTAATAAACATAATAAAAAAAGTTTTGAAGAAATTGATTAAATTCTAAATCAATTTATTTTTTAATCCCCAAAAATTCAATCGTCCATTCTCATTTGCAAAGCCTTCATTTTTGCGGAAATGTCGTTGTAACTTGATAAAAGATCATATTATCAAGGTGGTGGTGAGTGGGTTTTTTGGATCTTGTTCATGGTTATTTTCCATATATTGATCTTTAGTTATTTGTATTTGATGTGATTTTCCTAGCCATATATTTCAATTGTATTTTCTTAAGCCAATGAAGGAGTAATGATTGGAAATAAACATGAATAGAGATTATATATTGTTTCCTCTATTTTAGAGGTTCTTAGAGGTTGAACATTCCACTGATCTAACAATAGAAGATGGATAATTTGATTTCTATCAAGAAATAAAAATTTGAAAAAGACGACATGATGAAGCAAATTAAGAAATCTTAACAATTGATGATTTGGGTTTCTGTCGGGAAATACATGTGGGGGAAGAAGAGAGGTTTTTAATAAAAAAACATAATTAAAAAAATGAATGAGCAAGAAAAGAGTTGATATTCAGTCTTTGTTGAGGATATGAGGGATTCAGATGTATTCAACGGTATTAAGTGGCTAGATCTTAATAAAAACAAATGCACTGAGATGAACCATTCAGATTCAGACATTTGTATTAAGTGCAAACAAATGAGGTCTTAGTTCCCTTATACTCTTACTCAAATCATGTTTAAAATTCTTTCTCAAAACTCATCTTTAATTTGTTTTTTCAGAAAATTAGTTTAAGATAAAAATGTTTGCTTTAAAAGATTCTAAAATAATATAAATCAAACTATATGGTCCATACATAAATATATACATGAAAAAATCAATTCAAAGATCTCAATAACAATATGGAAAACTCAGTACTCAAAAATCAAGAACTTAGAACTCAACGATACTACTCATCTCAAGAATACTCAAAATACAGGATAAAACCCCAGTTCACTCTTTTACTAAATTTAGATAGATGTAGGGCGTGAAGATTAACTCAATCTATCACTATGATACCCTTACATACCTTGAAGAACAAAATTCTTGAAGAAGTTTGAAAAAGAACTTGATTGGAAGACTTGAAATTCTAGCTTTTGTCTTCCTTGTGGTTTTCACGGAAACGAAGAGTGGAGAAGAATCTTGGATTGAAAACTTAGGATTCTTGAAGAGAATATTGAACTTGAAGCCTTTAGATCTTGAGAAATTGGACAAATCCTTTCTTGGGGTTCTTGATCTTTGAAAGAATGAGAATTGAAAATTTTGAGAGTTGTTATACGTATAATGATAGTATTGGGTAGTAATATAGACTTAGAGAAGTTTATTGAGGGTAAAAGATTAAGAATTCCCTTCTAGAAACGTATAAGGATCATAAAAATCAAGAAAAACAACCTTTTAATGAATCCTATTGGCCAAATCGGCGATTTGAAGGCCTCCTAGCCAAACGGTGAGTCGCCCATTGAGACTTTAGATGCCCAAATAGGCAAAAACTTAGGTTTTCTAGGATATTTCGGCAAGCTAATTAGGTGATTCACCAACTCATTCGGCGGATCGCCGATTGAGAAGGTTAGTTCACCGAATTTCCCAACCCAGGTATGTTCTAGTAGAATGTCTATAAAGTTTTACTCCGAACTCGAAATGAGGCAAATTTGGTGGCGTTGGAAAGAAGGCTCATAGACCTTTAATTTGATAGTTCATAAGACACTTAATTCATTATATGCTGAGAGATATGAACGTTTGAAGTTGACCTTTATATGAACTCATGTGAGAACTTAGCCAACATGAATACTTTGAACTTGACTTGGTGTTTGAGGTCCCTTATGACCCTATATCACTTTAGATACCCTTTACACAGTTGTTAATGGACCTTAAAACACATGATAAAGTAGGATATCATCGGGTTCAAGCTTATATACTTACAATGAACGATTCAAATTTTAAGTGTAGAGTTGTGAGATGTTACATAATGATTCGAGTCTTAACTTTGAAATTTTTGGAACGTTACACCAAGTTATGATAACTACTAAGCCAAGAAAGGAAAGACTCAAATTACTTTAGGTTTTTGACAAGTTAAAGGATTGGTCCCTATGATTAAACTAACTAATCAAGAAGGTTAGCAAGGTTCCAAGTGAGATTCGAAATATTATTGATCGCTTCATCAACAAAATCATATATAACAATAAATTTTTTATAATTAACTTATACATAATGCACAATTCAATAAACTAACCTCATATTTTTAAGCAAAACTATAATATCAACTAAGTCGGTTACAACATGAGAATAGTACAAATAAATACTACAATTATCAAAACTTTATCAATATCAATATTTCCTTTTTAATCTTATTCAAACTAATCAAGGAATAATATCAACTAGGTCATTGCATATTTTATAAACTGCAATGTTAGAATATAATTTTACAATTACGTACCTTGTTTCTTCTTTTTTCTGAAGAAGAAATTAAATATAATTTAGCTTCTTTGGAGAGAAAGATCGAAATGTGATTAGAGTTTTGTACTGATAATGTTTTATAAAATTAAATGTAAAAAGTAACAATGTTAGAAAATGAGAGTAATAGAAGTGGAGAAACAAGAGAGGAGATTTTTCTTATTCTTCCAAATATATTGAAGTGTATTACTCATGTCCTATTATACTCCTATTTATACTGCTCCTATTACAAGATGATAGTTGTAAGTAGGGGTGTTCACGGTTTGGATAAAAACCAATTCAAACCGAAAAACCAAACCAAACCGAGAAAATAAAACCGACTTTATTTGGGTTTGGTTTGGTTTGGTTTTAGATTTTTGAAAACCGATAGTATTTGGTTTGGTTATGGTTTTATTCGAAAAAACCTGAAGAAATAACCGAACCGAACCGATGAATTATATACATATATTTTATTAATATACATACTTAATATATTATTTTTATAAACAATTTTAAAGATCTTATACATATTTTCATTAAAATTTCTTTATAATTTACTTATTGAAAGCAAAAATGCCCAAGATGAAACATTTATCTTATTGATTTCATGTATATGAGTGTCTATGACAATTCTTTGTGGGACTGAAAATGTTATTGTCTCTTCCTTCTAGGCCAATATAGTGAATTTTAAAGCTTTATTGATAGTAAATTTAGTGATTGAAAGTTTAGTAATTTAAGTCATTCTAACTATTTTTCGTTTTGAATGGATTGTTGTCACTTTTTTCACATTTTAAATGAATTGTTTCTTTTATTTTTATGTATGGTTAATAACCAAATAACCGAACCAAACCAAACCGAAACCGATAATCACCAAACCGATAAATGTATATTATATTTGGTTTGGTTTGGTTTTGATAATTTTAAAACCGATCAAGTTGGTTTGGTTTTGGTTTTGACCAATAACCGATCCAAACCAACCCGTGAACACCCCTAGTTGTAAGTTTGCTTTAAACATAGCGATAACCTTTTAAGAATGTGTGAGAAAATTATGAATGGTGCGAGATCAATGAGAATATAGTGAATGTAGGGGTGTTCACGGTTTGGATAAAAACCGATCCAAACCGAAAAACCAAACC